CCCCCCCCCCCCCCCCCCCCCCCCCCCCCCCCGCGGAGGCGAGGAAAGCCGAGGGAGGGAGGGAGGGAGGGAGCAGCAGGGAGAGAGGGAGGGGGGGAGGGAGAGGGAGAAAGAGAAAGAAAGAAACCCAATTAGGCCACGCTGTGTGCACAGAGCATGATCCGGGGCTTGAACTCACAAACCTCGAGATCATGACCTGAACTGAAATCAAGAGTTGGACACTTAACTAACTGAACCACCCAGGTGCCCCTGGACTGCTACTTCTAACAAAATCTATTTTTGTTACAAAAAATTTCTTTGTTACAACAAAAAGTATAAAATCTAATCCTAATCTTTTTGTGTAGATACCTTACTAATTATTTAATTACACTCAAAGTACTGATACATATTACAACATGAATGAAGCTTGAAAACATGTTAAATTAAAAAAGCCAATCACAAAAGACCACATATTGTGTGATTCCATTTATAAAATAAAAATGTCCAGAATAGGTAAATCTATAAAGATAGAAAGTATACTGGTGGTTGTCAGGGGCAGGGTGTAGGAGAATGAGGTATGACTACTAATGGGTATGGTGATACAAACGTTATAAAATTGACTGTGGTGAAATTTGTGCAACTCTGTGAATGTACTAAAGCCTGTTGAACTGTATACTTTAAATGGATGAATCATATGGTATGTGAATTACGTCTCAATAAAGCTGCTGGGAAGAAAAAAAGTCCTAAGTTAAAATCAGTCATTCCTGGGGTGCCTGGGTGGCGCAGTTGGTTAAGCGTCCGACTTCGGCCAGGTCACGATCTAGCGGTCCGTGAGTTTGAGCCCCGTGCCGGGCTCTGGGCTGATGGCTCAGGGCCTGGAGCCTGTTTCCGATTCTGTGTCTCCCTGTCTCTCTGCCCCTCCCCCGTTCATGCTCTGTCTCTCTCTGTCCCAAAAATAAATGAACGTTGGAAAAAAAAAATCAGTCATTCCATTTATTTTTGTGCAAGAAAGAGTTAATACAGCAGGCCTAACTGCTGACTGCTATCCTTTGAAAGGTCTGCTTACTTTCTGTATGATTCTGGAAAAAATTTTTTAAGTTTATTTATTTATTTTGAGAGTGAGAAAGAGAGAGGCAGAGATGGAGAGAGAGAATCCCAAGCAAGCTCAATGCTGTCAGCCCAGAGCTCAACACGGGGCTCTGTCTCATGAACTGTGAGATCATGACCTGAGCTGAAATCAAGACTCAAGACACTTATCCAGCTGAGCCACCTAGGTGCCCCTGAGTCTGGAATTTTAGTATGCGACTAGCTTCCAATAAGAACCCTAGCCTAGGCATGCCTAGGCTAGGCATCCTCTCAGCAAATCATTAAACCTGGGAGAGGTCTTAGAGGCCCCTGACACAATCTCACAATTATATAGTATCAAATACATAAAACAATAAGTAGTGAGAAAGTAACAAATAATATTTGTTTAGTACAGAAGCATTTACAAAGTATTTGTAAGTATGAAATAAATACTTGTCTGTCTCCTTAAATGGACTATGAATGGAAAAAATTTACTTCAAGTATTTAAAACAAACAGCATAATACAAAAATAAACATTTCACCTTAGATAAGTCAGAATAAAATATTCTACACTGACTGGTAAGAACCATAGACTTTGCACCTACCATTTATGGAATCCCTGATATGTGCTCACTCTCTTTTTAAAAATTTTTTTAACATTTATTTATTATTAAGAGACAGAGAGAGAAAAAGCATGAGCATGGGAAGGGCAGAGAGAGGAGACACAGAATCCGAAGGAGGCTCCAGTCTCCGTCCTTTCAGCACAGAGTCCATCCTGTCAGCACAGAGCCCAACGCGGGGCTCAAACTCACAAACCACAAGATCATGAACTGAGCTGACGTCGGACGCCCAACCGACTGAGCCACCCAGGTGCCCTTCTCACTCTCTTTAAAATAAAAATAAATTAAAACATAAATACATACGTATCTTTCAGGTACATACACATATGTATCTCCTGCCTCTGTTTTAGTTTTTATTTATTAATTTTAATTTTAATTTTAGAGACAGAGCGCAAGTTGGGGAGAGGGGCAGAGGACAGAATCCCAAGCAGGCTCCACACTCAGCTCAGAGCCTGATGCAGGGCTTGATCCCATGACTCTGGGCTCATGACCTAAACTGAAATAAAGAGTCAGACACTCAACCAAGGAAGCCACCCAGGCCGGGTGCGTGCCCCACCCCCGGCCCGCCCCTCTGTTTTAATTCAGCTGCTCAAAGGCCAAAGAGATAGTGAAGACAGTGAAAGGATTCAAACTTAGGCTTATCTGACTCCAGATCCATTTTATTTCCACTATGACTCTAAGACAGTACAACCCAAAAAAGTAAACAGTTCCTGGAATTTCTCACTTAAACAACAGAAGTAATATGCAACCAGAGAGAAATTTAACACTTTTTTATTAATAATAAAAACATTTAGGGGTGCCTGGGTGGCTCAGTCGGGTGAGCGCCCGACTTTGGCTCAAGTCATGATCTCACAGTCCTTCAGTTCAAGCCCCGCACTGGGCTCTGTGCTGATAGCTAGGAGCCTGGAGCCTGCTTCAGATTCTGTGTCTCCCTCTCTCTCTGCCCCTCCCCACTCGTGCTCTGTCTCTCTTTCTCTGTCAAAAATAAGTAAAAACATTTAAAAAAATTTTTTTAAATAATAAAAACATTTAGTAACTTCATTAAAATCCATTCAACGCAGCTTTGAATAAAAATTTACTTTTTAAAATACATTACCTTTAGTTTTTTAACTAAAAGAACCATAATGAAAACATCTACAGTTAGTGAAATGCAGCAAAAATAGAAACTAAAAAAGGCATTAATAACAGAGAAAATTCAAATTAACTTACCATTCTTCTTTGATACTTTCAAGGTTATCTACTTCTTTCATTCTCTTTTGCCTTACTGTAAAAGTAAAAATAAACAAAAGCTAAATTCCTCAATTTAGAATTTTAGATACATGTATTTTTATGCATGAATATTCTTTGACATAAATTATTAGGTACTCTTAAAGCAGCACTGCAAGCGTCTCAAGGACCCGAGTGACCGAACTTGAAGCTCTCATCTACAAAGTATAAAAATAATAAAAAATAAATTCTGGAGTCTAATAAGCTTCCAACAAAAGAAGTATTTCTTAAAAATTATGATAAAAAATTACAATGTGCCCTTTGGTTTAACAAACAAAAGTGAATGTAACATTCTTATTCTCATTCTTACAATTCCTTGGGGAAGCAAACTGACAAGATGTACAGTATACAATTCATTGGCATCAATTATATTTACAATGTTGTATGGCCATTGCCACTATCCATTTCCAAGAGTTTTTCAACTTCCCAAAAAGAAACTCTGTACCCATTAAACAATAATTCTTTATTCTTCTCTCTTCCCAGTCCCTAGTAATCTCTTTTCTACCTTCTGTCTCTGAGTTTGCCTTGTATTTCACATAAATAGAATCATACAATATTTGTCCTTTTGTGTCTGGCTTATTTCACTTAACATAAACTCATCCTTTTTACAGGTAAATAATATTCCACTGTATGTATATACATTTTGTTTACACATTAATCTGTTGACAGACGTTTGGATTGTTTCCACTTCTTGGCTACTGTGAATAATTTTATGTTCCTGCCAGAGTTCTAATTTCTCCACATCCTTGCCTTGTTGTTTTATTTTTTTAAGTAATATCCACACCCAACATGGTACTCAAACACACAACCCCGAGATCAGGAGTAACATGCTCTACTAATGAGCCAGCCAGGCACCCCGTACTTGCTATTTTCTTTTATTGAGGAATACCCATCCTACTAAAGTGGTATCTCATTGCAATTAGGGATGTTGAGAATCTTCTTCATGTGCTTACTGGTCATTTGTCTATACATACCTTCACTGGAGAAAGGTCTGTTCAAGTCCTTTACCCATTTTTATTTATCTGTTCTATTTCTTATTTTTGCCACTGTTTTTAAGTTGCAATTTTTTAGAACATATTTTAAGTAGTCTCTACACCCAACGTGGGGCTTGAACTCACATCCCTGAGATCGAGAGTCACATGCTCCACCAACTGAGCCAGCCAAGCATCCCGAGTTGCATTTTTCTCTATTCACCATTTGCTTGGCTGCTATACACCCTGGATTACTTTCCAGAGTTCTAAGTTGGTTCTAACAGTTACTGCTTGTTTTTCAATGTTTGTGTGGGAACATGAGCTTCAAACTGCTCATCTTGCCATTTTGCTGACATGACCCTCAATTTTAATTAAAAAAATTTTAGCCTCAGACATATTTGGAACTTATCTTAGTTACAGTGACTCCACATGACTGTTTTTATTTAAAAGTCCATCTTTTCCTGGGGTGCCTGGATGGTTTAGTCAGTTGAGCGTCCCATTTTTGATTTCAGCTCAGATCCCAGGATCTTGGGAGCCTTATGTTGGGCTCCTTGCTGAGTATAAAGCCTGTTTGGGAGGCTCTCTGAGTGTAGGGCCTCTCTTTGTCTTCCTCTGGCCCTCTCGTCTGCTCCCATATGCTCTCTCGCTCTAAAATAAAAATAAAAGAAAAACTAAAAGTCCACCTTTTCCTAAAAAAATACAATAGAGTAAAAAAGTCCATCTTTTTCTGACTTTTTCCTTCAGATCTAACAGTACGGATTTGTGGGTTTTTGTTTTTCAATGAGTTATAATTTATTAATATTATTTATTTTGATTTTCCATTTCCCAGATTTGTCCAGTGGTGGCCCCTTCAAGGTGACTTCAATGTCCTTTTGCTACGTCTTCATAATTCTTTGAGCACTTTCTTACTTTCTGGAGCAAGCAGATGCTCCAAGATTTGTTCTTCCTCTGCCCCAGCCCTGGAATCAGACTTTTCTCTAAGGGGCCATGGCTACCCTTTTTTGTTGGAAAATTATATTAAGAAACCAAGATCTGAGTGTGTGTTGCTTCTCGTGTGTCAGTGCTTCCGGGACCTCTCAGTGGACAGATGGCTTGGACTACTTTAAACATTCATTTGTTTGTTTCTTAACAATATTTTGTTACAAAGGCAAAACAATAATACAAAAAGTTTGGGGAAGACAGAAGATAATCCATAATTTTATTACCTCTAGCAATAACTAAACTTTTGTCTCTCTGTTTCTTCATATACATTCAAATGCATTATTAGTATATTAATAATTCTTATTTCCTGTATTTTTCATTTATGTGCTTTTTCCATTTGACTACATAAACTGCTTCATAAAGATTTTATTTTATTTTATTTTTAACGTTTATTTATTATTTTTGGGACAGAGAGAGACAGAGCATGAACGGGGGAGGGGCAGAGAGAGAGGGAGACACAGAATCGGAAACAGGCTCCAGGCTCTGAGCCATCAGCCCAGAGCCCGACGCGGGGCTCGAACTCACGGACCGCGAGATCGTGACCTGGCTGAAGTCGGATGCTTAACCGACTGCGCCACCCAGGCGCCCCTTCATAAAGATTTTAAAGGACACATATTATCACATCAGGCAGTTATATACCATGACTATTGGGCATTTAGTTCACTTTCAATTTTTCCTAATAAATTCTGTGTATACAGCTAACTTTGTTGTTTCTTTAGATTCCTAGAGATGTGGAAAATCAGGGTCAAAAGATGAATATTTCTGTGACATGTAAATAGTGTACCTCTATTTAAAAACGTAAGCAGATCCAGGGCACCTTGGTGGCTCATTTGGTTAAGTGTCCATCTCTCGATTTTGGCTCAGGTCATGATCTCATGGTTTGTGGATTTGAGTCGTGTCAGGTTCTGTTCTGACAGCATGGAGCCTGCTTGGGATTCTCTGTCTCCCCCGTCTCCCCGTGCCTGCTTGCTCTCTCCCCCAAAAATAAATAAATAAAATAAACATAAAAAATAAAGTAAAATAAAAATTTAAGCACATCTGAATAGAAGGCAAACATGCTAATAGCCACTGAAGATCCACCAGACCTATCCTAAAAATCTCCCAAGTAATTTACCAGGTAAATTTAATCTGGTAAGTGAGGATCTGGCAGCAGCCGGATAAAATCAGTCTGACTTCCTGCTGCTAATGGAGCTGTGCCATAACCACAGCAACTTGTGTTGAGCACTAATTCCCACTTAGCGTCTGTTCTGCTAGGAATTAAAGTAGGATAGTGGAATCTGCTCTGGAAAATATCCTATCATTGAAAGTTGTTTTAAATACCTCTAATTTTAATTATGAATTGACTATGAGTTGATGGAAAATTTATTTGCTGGCCTTGTCATGAGAAAATTGTGAAAAATTCTGTAAGACAAGGAGAAACTGAAAGGGAAGGAAAAAGGAGGAAACACAATGGGGCTGAGGAGTGAGTACAGAATATAAAGCAAAGGACAGCACCTTCAAGGCCATCCCCAACAGTAACTTCACACTCTGCCTTGTAGCTAGAGGGCAAGGTAGGATTCATGAAAGCCACACCATCTGAGAGGATGGCATCCAACAACTAAAGCAAACTGGATGACTCTATTATCACAAGTGAGCTATTCTGTATTTCCAAAAGACTTCTGCAATGCTCTTCAAAATTATTCCCTAGACCTACAGCTGTGTTGGACAAATTCTGTGTATACAGCTTACTTTGTTGTTCTTTCAAAGGATCTTAGTCAATATTTATTAAATTAAATATATACATATTATGTATGTATGTACATATACACGTGTATATGTATATATGTATATATATTTAATGCATTAAATATATATGTATATATATTTAATGCATTAAATATATATACATATATATTTAATGCAT